CATAGTATACTTAAATTTTTGTGCTGTTTTAACTAATATGTATGATATACTAGGACAGTTGCTGGTATACCTTAAGCAATAGTAGGATAACTGTAATTATTATTGAAAGTTAAGTACATATGTAGGATGATGCTTATTGCTAAAACAAAATATTAAATAATACCTGGACTGTGAAATAAGTTCATCAAATTCGTAAATGTATTAATACTCAAAACTGGCTACATGCTTAAAACTAGACAATGTTTTTCTTCCTTAAGGAAGTTCTCCTTTTCATGAAGGAGTTAAACTCATGTTCCCCTGAAAGCAGGAAGATCCTGAAAAGCTCGAGATGGGGAAGGGCACCCACGAGAATGTACTCTCAATCCAGAATCTACAAGGAGGAGAGAAACGCATTGCTCATAAAACTTAGCAACTGTTCTCATAGAACAGTTCTGGGCACTCAGTTCTGTAGTGCAGCCTGTAGCGAACGAAACCTCTGAGGGACATCCTGAGAGAAGTTGAGGGAGATCCTGAATCAACCTGAACCCTCTGATGTAACGGGAGCTTGGAGAGCAGTGCAGAGGAAATGCTGAGTCTGCTGTGTGGAGTATTTGCTACATCTTAATCCAAACGTGGCGAGCTGTGCTCTGGGACAGAGCTAGAATTTGATTTCCAAATCAGCCAAGCATTTCAAAACTGAAGCTTTTTAAGGTCCTCAGATGTCTCAGAACTGCTATAGTCCAAAGATGTTTTTCTGATGTCTTCCACAGGTAGATACACTAACTCTGGAGCAGAAGCTGTTTAGTGGCCCCTACCCCTATCACATTTGTATCATCCACGAGTTCAGTAATCCTCCCAATGTTCGGAACAAGGTGCGCATTCGGAACTGGATGGACACAATAGCCAATATCAATCAGTAAGTGACTCTGTGGCCCCGAAAGTCCTTTGTCATATTCCTCCTATTGAGTGCTCCTAGGAGCAAATCCTAATTTATTTTAAATGATTCCAATTGAGCTTTTAGGTAGACTTAACTTGTCATGACATAAACATGTAAAAAAAAAAATGATGAAAGAACATTTCAAACTTAAGATCACACATGGATTTATGTAGCATTTTATTCAAACTTAGAGAAAAAAATCACAAAGAATTGCCTAAGTGTGTTACTTCTTCAGACATGGAGGATGGAAACACAATGACAGTCTCGAGGCTAATGCTTCACTTGACAGAAAATTATGTTTGTTTCTAATCTTACAAACACTGTACTAATTACCCTCAATATACAAGATATTTGCTCAGAGATTTCCTTTTTCTTCCCTCAACATGATTTGAAAGCTACTAAAGAATGTAGCTTAGACCAGGTTAGACTCTCTGATGGAGTGACTGGTGATGTCAGAGTTGTCGCTCTGCTTGAGATGGTCGCTGGACTCTTAAGCTTGAGTAGTCACAGTTGCTTTCTGCCCAGCAGTCCTTTCCAGTTCTGTATTTACTTGATTTTTCCTCTTGCCCCCAGAGAACTCATTAAATATGAATTCTTCCTGGAAGCCACTCGAACTGAAGAGGATTTAAAGAAGTACCCTAAGTACCCCTGGGGGAGAGAAATCTATACATTAGAGGGTAAGAATTTACCTAGATGAGGGCGGGGCATGCCTTAGGGGAGATATGGGGATTATCAGATTAGTGAGAGGTTTGAATCTCCACAAGAGGCAGAAGCTGGGTGAATAGTGGTCTGGCTGTCTTTACCATCCCTACAATGATCACAACTGTTGACACACAGAAGGTAGATAACAATGGAGACTTGGGGTGGTTAGAGGTGACTCCGAAGGCCGCTGGGCTGGCCCCGTCCCTGTACCCAGCTGTGGGAGTACTTAGGTAGAGTGCGCTGCTGCCAGCTTCTCCACACTAACAGGACTGTCCCACGGCCCGCTTATTTCAGGTGTTGTGGATGGAGCACCGTATTCCATGATTTCTGACTTCCCCTGGCTGAGGTCACTGCGGGCAGCAGAGCCCAACAGCTTCGCCAGATACGATTTTGAAGATGACGAAGAGAGTAATTATGACCTGATTTGACTTGATTTTCTAGCCTAAGTCTGCCTTACGACGTTAGATCGTTAATATCTTGTTTGCAAATTAGGGACAATACAGAGTTTGGTTTGTTTCCCATAAATGTTTTTAGCACCTCTTCTGAAAAGGTCCCAGCTCTGAGTTGGTGCAGCAGATGCACAGTGCACCTAATGTGTCCGCACGATGGGAATTCCTTCCGGTTTCCTGCTCATCTGATTGTTTTGTTTTCTGGTACATATGTATATATGCTGGAGATTTAATTCAGGACCTAATGGAAAATGTGACAGCCAGTTACAAACCCATTTAGAATTTTGCTTTTTGAGAAAGATTCTCATGGAGCCCGAGCTTGCCTCCAGATGTCTGTGTAGCAAGTCTGGCCCTGCGTGCCTAATCCAAGTTGCCAGGATTCCATTGGGCATGTGCCACCATGCCTGGCAAACCCATGGATCTTTACTGAAGAATTTACAGACATGTATGCCAGTTTAGACTCGTTCAGTTGTACCACTTAGTTGCCTGCTTCTTAGAAGTATTGCTGTGACACTGTAGCTTAATTGTGATTTAAGTGTAGAAATTTCAGGGGAAGTTTTTAATGAAAGTTTTCTAAGTTTTAGCATATTTGTATGTTCACTTATACGTAAGACTGAAATATTTATAAAGAAGTGAATTTTCTTAACTACTTATACTTAGCATAATTTACTCCCTGGTACATTATTTTCACCTGGGGATTTTGATCATGTCTGCTATCTTAGACATCATCTCTGATATAAAACGAAGACAGATTCTAGGAGCCGTCCTAGCATCGGCTACATTGTGGTCTAGGAAATGGACCACGTGGTTCATTCTACGTATCTCTGGTCTCTCTCCTTTCCCAGGTACCATCTATGCTCCTCGAAGGAAAGGACAGCTGTCTGCAGACATTTGTATGGAAACAATAGGAGAGGAGATCTCAGAGATGCGCCAGATGAAAAGGGGTGTGTTTCAGCGAGTTGTGGCCATTTTTATCCACTATTGCGATGTCAACGGAGAGCCAGTAGAAGACGACTACATTTAAAGAGACCTTCCCTGGCTCTTCTGGCCCAGAGCGGCCAAGAGGCTACACAGGAACTTTGGGCTTGGAATTGGGAGGCCCTGGCTCAGTTTGTTATATAGGAAATAAATAAGGAACATGGAAATTGTATACAAAGATTTATATATAGAAGAAATATACAAAGACACTTCCAAAAGTAACGTCTTTATATCCTATGTTTGTACATCTTAATTTAAAGAAGTCATTTGAATGAAGGCAAATCATTTGAGCATCGATTTTGTTCACTTTTCCTCAGTTCTCGGTGTCATGTGACTGAGCCCATTTACTCTGCTACTCACCTTGTCCCTTCGGTCTGTGCCTTTTTCTTCCCCAGCAGAGCTGTCTGAGTCAGTGCTAAAGAGTGCTGTGTCTTGTGTGTGTGTTAGAATAATGCCAGCTAACCCTCAGTCAGAGAAGACTGTTCTGTACTGTGACGGGCCTCTTGTTTGCTTAGTGTCATTATTTGGCGTATTTCTTTAAATGAAAAGATTCACAAACTTAAGAAAATGAATTTGAAGGGCAAATAGAAAGTTTTCAGAGCATTTCTAGTTATTTATTTCCTCACTCAATTGTGTATATGCTTTATCTTGAACATAAAAATAAACATTTAGTAAAAACTTTATTCTTGCCATGGACTCAACCATATTTTACAGCGGCACATACTTCACAGACAAGCAGTGTGTGGCTGCGTCTGACTCAGCACCAGTGTCCACTTGCTGATCCCTTTTGAAAACGAGGCCAGGAGATTCATGCCTAGTGCACGCAGACTGCAACAGGGTGCTGGGAAGATGAGTGTGGGCTATTTCAGAGGAGCTGCCTTTCTCTCAGGGCTAAAGCTGCCCGACGTGACGGTGACGGTGCTCTTTACTCTTGGGGGCATCACCAAATGGCTTTGCTGTTTGGTAAATAAGTGACCTTAACAGGCTTCGGAAGCCAAAGTCTAAAGACAAAAGGAATTATGGTCTGTAGAAAGTGTCAGGTCTTTAAGGATTTATACAGCCCCTTCCCTTTTCTGGGGATTAATTGAGGTCAAGAAAGGAAACACCAGTCATCCTTGATGAGGACCAGGTGTTCACTGGGTAGGACATGAATTTGTGGTTTCGATCCCAGCTGTATTTACTTAGTAAAGACAGGCAGGCAGGGGTGCCCGCGAGGTTCCCTAGCACCGGACTCTTGGATGATAGGTCCCTGTATCTACCGTCTTTACTTCACAGCTTTTAAAATTCTTGACACGTAAGAGTTTTAAAAATCTTAAATATGGCCGGGTGGTGGTGGCACACGCCTTTAATCCCAGCACTCGGGAGGCAGAGGCAGGCGGATCTCTGTGAGTTCGAGGCCAGCCTGGTCTACCAAGTGAGTTCCAGGAAAGGCGCAAAGCTACACAAAGAGACCCTGTCTCGAAAAACCAAAAAAAAAAAAAAAAAATCTTAAATATGATGAGTTCATTTTTTTCCTTGCATTATTTTTAGTTTACTGTCCAGGTTATAATTGCTCAGTAACAGGCGGAAACAAATGCAGAATAATAACCTCCAGTTCTCAGCAAGAATCAGCCTGTCTGTAGTTTTCCCCTGTCACTCCAGCAAGGACCTCATCTAAATAATGCTCATACTGGCCACAGGAGGCCACTGCTCTTTAACTTTACTCAGTTTACCGATCTTACAGTCATTAAATAGTACGGGGGCCCTCAGATCATTTGTAAAGGTGCTGGAGGTAGACAGCCAAAGACAAGGGGGAAGCCACGCACTCTCCTGGATACTTAGTAAATGTAGATGAAAAAGCCAGGAGTGGTGCCTTAGAGCAAGGCCAGCAGCCTGTGTAGGCTGTAAATAATTCGTGCTCAGTGGGCCATAGACATCCTCGGATGTGTGAAAGCCATGAACAGTACACAAAGATGGCCATATTACAACAAAACTTTATTGATAGACAGAAACTTGAATTCCACATAATATTCACATCACAAAATAATACTCTTGGATTTCAACCCAGACATTAAAAAAGCAGAAACCATTTTGAAGGCGTACAGACCACATCTTGGCCAGTTGAGTAACGCCTGATGGAGAAGGGAGTTTTCCATCCATTCTGTTATGCCAACAGCTGTGTGTACAATGGCCTGTTTCTACAAGGCCTTAAATAGTTCACAGATGACCTCTGACTGAGTGTCAGAATCAGAAAGAACCATGTATCACATGCTGCCAGGCATACGGGGCTGATAGCTGACACTATGATTCTTGAAGTGACTCTGTACATGGAGGCAGAAGTCCTGGGTTCAGATCTAACTTCCTCAGACAACAGCTCTGACCAGGAGACAGTGGTCTGTGGTGGAGAGCCCTGTGCTGGAGCCTCAACTTTCCTCATTTGTAAGGTGGTAACAGTTACCCACCCCCACCAGGCAGTGGTGAGGGTCCAGTGGGAGCACCCAGTATAAAACCCAGGTTTATTATAAAAGTGTTTGGTCTGGTTGCTTGTGTGTGTGTGTGTGTGTGTGTGTGTGTGTGTGTGTGTGTGGTGTGTGTGTGTGTGTGTGTGTGTGTTGTAATTTATTTTCCTGGGTTTTTTTTCTTAATATTTCCATAATGTCCCTTAGACTATATCCTAGGGCAGCGATCTTTGAGAACTAACCAGGCCTTGGAAAGGAGGTCACACTTGACATTATCGTTTGGAGGAGTTGCTTATCATACCTCCTAAGCTTGCTAAACATCCAGTTTAGCAGTTTAGATAACTTGGTCAAAGGCAGGTGTTTAGGGATTACTGGAAGCAGAGTTTTATCAGTCTGACTCCAAACAGTCCCTCAAGGGGGAAGGAAGTCAGGTGAGACCCACTTTGGGGCGGGCTCCTGCCAACAGGACAACCCCTACGTCTGAGCTGCCGCTTCATCCTGAAACCAGTCCCGCTGACCTTGTGGAAGACACAGGATACACTCAGCTATTGAATTGCCTGCTCTCCCAGGCTGGCAGCATGAAGCACACGTGAATTGATATGAGGTGATGTGCGGGGTTGACAATTGAGAGGCCAGTAGCAGAGTACATACAGCATCACCTTAGTCATAAATAACAGCAAACAAAACCACAAATGACTGAATCACATATGCCAAGTGATAAGCCCCCCACCCCACCCCCACCTGCCTTGGGAATGGAGTGGGACTGAGCTGGGGTCAAGAGTATTTACTTTTATTTGTGTTATGGGACTTCTTATAATGGGAATAGTTGCATAAATGCATCATTTATATAAACCATAATTTATGTAGGAGGAAAAAAAATCACTGTGCTAGGTTAGGAGACCTAATGTGTTTTCCATCCATCTTCTGCCACATGTCCTTGGGCAAGTCACGTGCTGTGACAAAGTCTTGTCTATAAAATTGAACCGATAATCTCTCACCACTAGCTATTGTGAGGCTGAGACCTTGTGAAAGGGCAGATCAATTGTAAAGTGCCTATGGTGGTGGATAGATACCAGGAAAATCGGGCTGGTGCCAAATAGTTTAAATTCAACCAAGAAGTATGGCAAATTCAGATTGCCTTCTGCAGGGCGCCTTGATGGTGGTTTGCAATATTCAGGGTTCATCCACTTGCCTGTCAGTCTGCTGCTGACTATCAGTAACCTCAGGCTCCCCTGGTACTAGAGAGCCTTCCTGCTGGACCATCCATGGACCAGAATACCCCCATCATTGAATTAATGGAAATGACATTCAGAGGAAAAAAAACAAGAGGACAAGTGAATGGCAGAGCTCAGACCAGAACAGGCACAGCTCCGGGTTCCAAGGTGATAAGAGAGGGGAAGTGCTTAGGCCATGTAATCGAGGGGCCTGGGCCTACATCCCACATCCATACTTGTCAGGTCAGTCACCAGATGATGTCTCTGCTGAGGTCTGCTCATTTTTAGTGGGAGTAATTTTGGTACTTGTAAAGGTTGTTTTATGAGAAAATCCACGGAAAGCACTTAACCGAATGCCCAGCAGAAAGGCGTTTGTTAGTTAGCTTCTCATTCTGTTACTGCTCACGAAGTTCAGAAAGAGCTAAAGTAAAAGGCAGCAGAGGAGACACAATCTGGATTAAGTATAATACTAATAAAAATAGTAAGCAGTTTGTTTCCCTTCTTTGTTTCCAAAAACATGGAACGTAACTTGTATTAAATTGATGAATTCCTATAGTTTGGAATTCATTCTCTAAATTCTCCTAGAGAGGAGATAGGGGGACTCCACTGACATGTTTGTCTTCCTGGGACATGCAGAGGCAGGGGACACGCTCTGAGTGTTGACATCTGGTTAGAATTTAGTAGTTTGGTTTTATTTTTTATTAGTTTTTCTCTATGGCTGCTTTCTATTTACAGCAAATAAAACTCATTTTTCCATTTGGGATCTGATAAACCGTTTCCTTCTAAACTAAATTTCTGTAAGTGAAATGAAGATATTATGTAGATAACAGTGCAGGCAAAGCATGTATTTAGCCAAACTTCTAACAGTGGCCCTTGGCTATCCATGTTGGAACAGTCACACAGATCCAGCCAGCTCAGTGACCATCTGCATTTTGTAGAAGAATAGAGTGAGGCAAGTTCTGCTCAGGGCCAGAGCAAGAGTGGGCCTGAACCCAGCTCTTCAAGTTCATCCCTGCATTGTTCACATTCAAATCAGTACTTAGTTTTCTAGACTGTGTGCAAAGAGGACACTTTTGGCCAAAAGGGGCAAATACCCTGATTTTTTATTTCCTCCTAGACCACCCTGTATTTTGGGGCAGATTTTGACCACAGCCAATCGAAGTAATAGAGGGAAAGAAAAGCACTTTCCATCTCTCACCTAAGAGAGCCACAATACCAAAGAGAAATAGCTAGATTGCACAGCACCAAGAAGACACTTTCTCCTCACTTGAAGACTGTATTACAGATGATTTGGTTGTCTCTATTCTCTGGCATCTCAGTGAGTCTCCTCTGTCACCTACCCACAATGCCCTACCCTACCCCATTTCCCAGATGGTTCTTTGTTTCAGGACAGAGCAAGTTGGCAGCAGGAAGTGGAAATGTTAGTGAGCGGTGAAACTGAAATCTCCGAGTTGGCTTTGTTAGTTTGCTTTAACCAATACCTTGTAGGTTTTTATTTCTTTTACTCTCTAGTTGCTAATGGAAAGGGTTCGTGACCTGGACCAGCAGTTGCTCTTCAGGTCCAGCATTCTAAGAGGGATGGCCAGAGGAGGAGGTAGGAAGCTGGGGTTGACAGGTCTTGCACAAGCTACGTCTTATGCCGAGCAAGCTTATTAAGAAGTAGAGCATTTTATATATCCTATTTGCTGAGGGAAAATGGCCAAGGTCAGCAGAAAGCTAAATCAGACAATGTTGGCAAGAGAACACAGGATATCTCAGACACAGCTGCCTTAGGACTGATAACCACAGCCCTTCAGAGGGGAAAGCTGGGTTCCTAGGAACTGAAACGTTAATCCTTTGAGGCCCAGGCCAAGACTGGCCCTTGCCAAGTCTGCCCCTAGGCAAGGGCAAAGAACTAGCATTCCCTTTTTTTCTTTCATCAGGACCTCTGGATCATTCTGGCTTCCAGCAAGATGAGGTGGGATCTTCAGAACTGGGTATTCCTATGGACTGCAAAGTCAAATGGAAAGAAAGCACAGTGAATCCTTTATCCCTGGCATGGAAACAGACTTCATTAAACATCCAAGTGGTTGCCAGTGTTCATCTGGCCAGATTAGCTGGACCACAGCCTCCTCTTCCCTAGTAACATCTCATCTTAACACAGCCGGCTTCCTGACAGAGGAGCTTCTTAGGAAGAGGACAAGTGTAGGTCTCCTTGAAGCCTGGACTGCTGTGTATCTTCTGCATCTTCCACATTCAAGCTGTGTTGTCTGGATTCCTGGAAGCCATGGGTGGAACTAATGCTGTGTAGCAGCTCTCCAGATAGAATGAATCCACTCTTGTCTCATGGATTTGCATTTGGCTTATCACCATGTCTTCTTGTCCCTAGTCCCTTCCTTCAGTTTTTCATGAAAAGACAGGAAGGGACTCAGATCCAAGGTGTTTACTGGTTTTCCATAGAGAAGGGTCCCATAAGTATGGTGACTATCCTTAACTTGCCAAGGGCTGCGGACTGCCTTGGGATATGAGACTTTCAATGTTAAACCTAGACGGTTGGTCACTTCATTCCTTTGTGGGGGATGACCATTCCTTCTCACGGTATCTGAAGATGGGGAAAAGGAGGATGGCCAGTGAGTTCTTCCTTCATAGATTAAACAGGGACAAAGAGCCCAGTGTGACCTGTCATCAGAGGGGAAGAAGGAACGACGCAGGGAGTAGAAAAGTAAGGGAAACTTGTAGGGTGACTCAAGCCTGTGGCCCCAACACTTGGAAGATGGAGGTAGGAGGATCAGGAGCTCAGTTCAGCCTCAGCTACACAGTGAGTTTGAGGCCAGCCTGGGCTATGAAAAACCCTGTCTCAAAAAAGCATAAGAGGGAGAAGAAGGGAGGAGGGTGGAAGAGCGGGAGAGAGAAGAAGGAGAAAGATGGGGAGTTAAAACAGGGCAGGGATGCTGGGCCATGTCCCGCTTCCCCGCTCCCTCTGTTTCAAAGCAGTGAACTGAACTGGTCTTTGTCGGCAGAAAAAAAGAAAACACTTGTGAGTCTCAAGTCTCTCTCTCTCTCTCTCTCTCTCTCTCTCTCTCTCTCTCTCTCTCTCTCTCTCTCTCAGAAATAACTTACCCAAGACAAAGAAGGTGGTGACAGCTTTAGCATAGGAGAGAAAACATATCTTGGGGTTTGGAACAAACGAGACTCTACAAAAATGTGTGTAAAATGGAACCATAGTAGCTTCAAAGGCAGGGTTCAATAATGACAGTTCCCAGTACAGAAAGATGGATTTGTTCTCTGCTCAAAACAGAAAATGGCCTAGGACTAGACCATTGGCTTGTTCAACACAGGACCCTGCTCATCCTTAAAAGGCAGTCTCTGTGGGAGCAAGTCAGTTTCCCTCCTTAACGTTTTATTTTATTTTATTTTAGTCTGTGAGTGTGTATGTGTGTGTGTGCCTAAGTGTGTGTATATGTGCACCGTGTGTGTGCAGGAGCCTGTGGCAGTCAGAAGTGGTGCTGGATCCCTTGGAACTGGAGTAACAAATGGTTGTGAGCCACCATGTGGATGCTGGGAGCCAAACCTGGGTCTATTGCCCGAGCAACAAGTGCGCTTCTCTTAAACACCGAGCCTTTTCTCTAGCTCCTCCCCGACTTCCACTCCTGAATTCTTGAGTTGTGAGACTATTCTCTGTCAATGTTCATAGCAATCAGGGTCCCAGTCCACCACCATGGAGGGGAAGCAATCACTAGTATGCCAGTGGGAAAATGGCAACTTTACACACACATGCATGCACGTGTGAACACACACACACACACACACACACACACACACACACACACACACACACAATTATCTGTATAGAGGTCTCTTAGTAATGGGTCCAAAGGCAAAACCTAAGCAGAATCTTTAAAATTTATCCTCAAGGGGGAACTAATACCTCAAGTAGTATGCTATGATCAAGAAAGAAAAAAGTAAGGAAGGAAGGAAAGAAAGAAGGGAGGGAGGGGGGATGGAAAGAGGGAGGGAGAGAAGGAAGGAAATGAAAATGTCCATGGCTGTAAGCCAAAATTCCTGACACCTTCCATGTCAGTACTTGAGAGCTTCTAGACAGACATCCGGAGCCCACCAAAGCATGTCCAGAAGATGGCCAGAGCGAAGAGGAAACTGGAGATGCTCCATTGAGAGAGAAGACTGAGAGGGGTGGGCAGGTGGCAGGTCATTTTCTTCCAATGTCTAAGGCTTTCTGAGAGGAAGAGGAGACCAACATCGCTGCCCTGACAGAGGCTAGAGCAACCACAGACTTGGGTGCTGATAAACGACAAAACTTCCACACAATTAGCTCATTCCCACCACAGAAGGGGCTGCGTTCGGAGGTAGTGAGCTCCTGTCCCTGGAGAGGTGAGAGCAGAGACCGACCTTGTGTCAGTAGGCAATGAGTGGTGCCACTTGGGCTCTGGGTAGGACACTGGGTCTGATGATGTCTGAAGTCCCCACACAATTCTGAAATCCTTGATGTGCTGGGTCCAGGTTCCACTGAACACCGTCTTCTGTGTACCTTCACTGGGCCCTGGTGCCCCGTACTTCAAGCTTCACTGGTGATGACCAGGGTCGAGAGTGTTTCCAGGGTGTCCTGTTCATGCAGACATGAATGGGAATGAATGGCTAAATGGCAAGCCAGGTCTTCAATTAAAAGCATGATTCCAGGGACTCTGGGTCATTGTGTATGGGCAATTTCTCCAGTTCCTGGTGATGCCCACTGTGCAAAACTGTATACCTAAGGAGGAAGAAAAGAAGGCATGAGAATTCAACAGGCATCCTTCAAAGGCATCAGAAGCACCCCGTCTATTCTCTACTCCCCTTTCTTGAATGTATTTGAGGGCATAGAGAGGTGGGAGTGGAATGGGATGGAACTTCACAGAGAAGGTAAACCAAAGGACTCACCTAGATTGTCTAAGTTAAAGGTGGGAAAATGGCATCTTTGGGGAACCAGGCCTAGGGTACAGAGAGTGAACGACAGAGCTGGGGCGAGAACCCAGATTCCTTTTTCCAAAGCAGTTCCTGTGCCACTTGTCAGAACAACTCCAAACTGGACGTGAATAAGCCCTTCCAGTAGCTTTCTGGTGCCGCACTAACATGCTGTTCAACTTTCTACTGTGGTTTCTAATTCCAGACTACACCCTGTGACCTAGATAGAGGAAAGAAGATGGATACAGCCGGGGTTGTGAGTGACTGTCCTCCACATCAAGCGACTGCCATTCATTTGTGCCCCCTTTGGAAAAAAATCATCCCATGTGGGATTGTTTATAACTTACACCACCTCCTAAGTATCCAACTACGGACAACTCTGCCCATAGTCTGGAGGAGGAACGTGTGTGTGTGTGTGTGTGTGTGTGTGTGTGTGTGTGTGTGTGTGTGTTTGTATATATGTATACTGCATTTTTGTGGTCATGGGGAAGCCCTCATGCCTGCTGGGCAAAGACCTCCAGTTGTGGCCAGTTGGGGGACACTTACCCACACTCGTGTAAGTAACTCCTCACCTATGCTCTGTAAGGAAGTCCAATATATTCATTGGTCCCCCAGAATGAACTCTGGTAGAATTCTGCCTCAGTTTGTCATTGGGACCTTAGGAGAAGAGGTAGACATTGCTATGTCTCCCACTGGGAAGTAATTTTAGCAACTACTGGAAGGGAGCCATTTCAGGTAGAGGAGGCAGCCACACATATGATGTCAGTGGTCCTATAGTAGACTACAATCAGCTGAGCATTCCTCCCATGTATGTAGCTAGAGTTTTTCTCTCCGGGTCCCGCCAAGCCCCAGCAGTCCAGTAGCCCACTTATAAAATAAACATACAGACACTTATATTATTTAAACTGTTCAGCCATTAGCTCAGGCCTACCATTGTCTAGCTCTTACTCTTACACTCAGCCCATTTCTGTTAATCTGTATGTCACCACGTGTCCCATGGCTTTATCTGCTGCCTCTACATGATGCTCCCTGGATGGCAGGCTGGTGTCTCCTCTTCTCTACCTTCCTGTTCTCTTAATTCTCCTCTCTGCTAGTCCCACCTATACTTTCTGCCTGGCTACTGGACAATCAGTGTTTTATTTATCAATTAATCATCCACAGCAAATGTACTCACTATTGTGCTACAACGCCATGCCCTGCAGTATTCAGAGCATGCTGTTGTGCAGATTTATGCAAATGTTCCTAAGCTAGATCTTGGCTGGAATTTGGAAGAATAGCAAGGATTAGGGCAGGGGTGGGACAAGGGAACAGAAAGTATAGGAGAAGTGGAAGGAGTAGATATCTGCAAGATATCCAGGACCAATGTTGGCATGAGGCAATCTTGAAGATCCCTGTGGTATTCTTTGGCTTTTTACTGCCCAGGAGGAGTTTGAGCAAAGCAATGGTCCGAATGACCTTGAAATAGGCTTCCTCTGGCTGGATGCTCTGTTGAGAGGATAGTCATACTTTGCTTAATGACAAGAATGCATCCTGGAAAATGTAACATTAAGCGGTGCAATCATTGTACAAACATCATAGAGGGCATCCATATATGCTAGAGAGTGTACCCCACTACACTCCAAGTTCTGTAATACAGCCATTGACTAGGCTAAAATCCTGTGCAGAATGCAGTGAACACTATCACACACAGGAAATACAAGGTCATCAGGAAACGAGAATTTTCCAGTTTCAGTCAAATCTGTGGGAGTACTGTGTCATATATATGACTCATCGGTAACTGAAATGCCATCATACAGCTCATGACAACTGATTAAAAAGGGGGCGGGCAAGAGAGCGAGATGACTGATGTTTTCCATCAGTGACTCGGGGGAGAGAAGAAAGTTGGTGCTGTGGCCCAGGCAACAATAAGCAATCAGATTCTCCATAGAAAGTCGTCGCCCTCAGTCGTACGTTATTTTCCACTTTATGAGATTTACCCTTGAAGCTTCGCTCAGGCCGCCCTGTGTTTGTGCCTCTCATTATCTAGAATACTGTGCTGTGCAACAGGCTGACTAAGACCTTCCAGTGGATCCTGACAGACTCGGCATCCCATCGGGCTCTGCCAGTCACTGACGATGTGATAGTTGGTGAATTGTTCCACCTCGCTATGCCTTTCCTTTCTCTTGTGCAGCCAAGGGCACGATGTATTCCTCACAGTACCACTGCACAGAGGAGGAAGCACAGAGCACAGGAGTGGCCCGTTTCAGAGGGTCAACATGCACAGCTTACGCTGTTCCAGATCTATCTTCTCCTCCATGGCTCCCAGAGTGAAGAGTGTGTTGTGTTGATGATCATACAGGCAGAGCTCTGAACTGCTAAAGTATTTTCTTCTTTTATTTATTTATTTTTTGTTGGGAACACCTAGAAGACCCCAAGGCCTAGAAGATTCCTTATTTGCTCTCCCTGCTTTGCGAGCACACACTCCTGTAAGGACACTGCCTCTCTGTTCCTTTCACAATCACTGCAGCTTGGCAGGCCATGCCAGGCAGGCAAAAAGACCAAAGCTATACACAGAAGAAAAGTGAGGTCCAGAGATGCTGAGAGAGGATCCAGAGATGAATGGTAAGACATGGGCCTGGACTAGACCCATGTCAGACCTACACCTGTTGGCCTAGCTCCTGAGCAACACTGCTTACTGGGCTAACCTGCCCATAGCTCAGAACCAAGCAGTCCTGAAAACTGGGCTGTGCTGCTACCCAAGGCATAAGGATCTCCCTGACATAGATTCATGTGCAGAAAAAGAAAAACCTAATAATAATAATAAGAAATCATCTACAGCTCAATTTATTGAAGGATGAAGGTGACAGGGACCATTTTTAGTCATGACATAACTGACTTCATTTTTATAATTATTTTTCCCAATTGTAAGTGTTGGCTACTCAGATGTATTTCACAGATGAAAAGACTGAAGCTCAGAGCTACTGATCTGGCTGTCACAGTGTGTGCAATGCCCCCGCACTAAATCCAAAGCACAGTCCCAAATTCTGCCAAGCTCTACAGTAATAAAACATTCACATTGGCAATAAATGGCACTTCCTCTATGGAGCTCATATAAAAAACATGTCCTTCTGAGAAGGAGAACCAGTATTTTGATCATGTGAAAAGTCGTGTGTTGGGGAATATTATTTTAAGATGTGTTACTTTTGTTTATGTTGCATTTGTTTAACTCTGTGAAGCTGTGTTACTGTGCCTGTCTAGAACACCTGATGGTCTAATAAAGAGCTGAATGGCCAATAGCAAGGCAAGAGAAAGAGATAGGTGGAGCTGGCAGGAAGAGAGGATGAATAAAAGGAGAAATCCGGGAGGAGAGAAGAAGGAGAAAGGAGGAAGTAGGAAGTAGCCAGAGAAGAAGGAGGACTCTAGGGGCCAGTCACCCAACTACACAGCAAGCTACGGAGTAAGATTTATAGAAGTAAGAGGACAGGAAAATCCCAGAAGCAAAAGGTATATGGGATAATTTAAGTTAAGGAAAGTTGGCAAGAAATAAGCCAAGCTAAGGATGGGCAATCATAATTAAGAATAAGCCTCCATGTGTGATTTATTTGGGAGCTGGGTGGCAGGCCCCTTAAAAGAGCAAAAACAACCAACAATAGTTGTGTCATGAAGTGGAAAGAGGTTCATGAACCCCCATCCCTAACTGTGGAGATATGGACAACTTAATACAGCTGCCTTACCAGACTATGGTGGGTTATAAGCACTGAGAGAAGGGAGGAGAGTTAGCTTCCTTGGCCAACCAGGAACAAGGTCTCCTATGCATTTTAGCCTATAGAGGTCCTGGCTTGCAAATTCCCAAGTCTCTGTGATTTACACCTTTTTAATTTAGGAGTTTTCATTTTGATGGAAAGGAAACAGTATGAACACATTTACAACACTTTGGATGGCTACCCTGCAAACAATCACCCTGCCTGAATTTAAGAATCCTATTTGTGTATAGATCCATAAGGATGTCACAGAGTCCATGACGTTTCTACAGTGTTTCTCTAAATAGAGGGCCCAAATGGTAGCTGCCTGCAGACATACTTGTGAACATCCATACATCCTCAAATTTAACAAGTATTGAGAGAAAAAGAACCTGCCACCTACTAATTGTGTGTGATCTGACCAAGTAAGCTATTCCTGTGTATCTAAAACTTTTGAGTTAAGAGTCCAATTAACATCTTTCAAGATGCTGGGCACATCCTGGATGGGAGAATCTTCACTGGTAAAGAGAACCGAGCTCAGGAAATGTGGCTTTCCTAAGGTTCAAGTAGGACATGGGATAGTTAAGAAGTTGATATATGGGACTGGAAAGATAGCTCAGTGGTTAAGAGCACTAACTGCTCTTCCAGAGGACCCGGGTTCAATTCCTAGCACCCACGTGGCAGCTCACAACTGTCTGTAACTCCAAGATCTGACACCCTCACACAGCTCACACAGACATGCATGCAGGCAAAACACCAATGTACATAAAATAAGAATAAATGAATTATAAATAAAAAAGAAGAAGTTGATATGTGTGGGATAGTTAAGAATTCTTGGGGCAGAATGCTTCGGTCCAAATCCTGATTCTGCCTCTTCCTTGCTGTGTGAATTGTTGCAAGTTTCCTGGAGAGCTACAGCCATTAAATGACATAATTCCTATCAAGCTCTTATTAATAACAGCCAGATAATGAATAATAAGAAACAATCATATCCTGCTTATAAGATATCTAAGGGCAGGGCTTGAACCTCTTGACCTCAGCACTTAATTCCTGGTTTAGTGCAGAATCCATTCCTTAGTAATTAATGCGT